CTTAAGAAATCACAATTGTTAGGTTTTCAATTTAAAAGAAAAACTATATTTTATAAACATATAAGCCACAGCTCTTTCTATTTTAAATAGACAGCACTGAAAAGCAATAGAATATTATTTTATAAAAAAGTTTTAATTATCTTTAATAATAATGTCATTATTTACAAGCAAGTGAGCGTAACAGCGCAAAAACATTGGGCAATTAGAAACCCCTCTTACTATGAAAAAGATCTAAATTCAGATACACTTGAATCTAATCTTTTAATCTCCGCAAAATCTCTTTGTCGCATCTACGTGCTTTTCATTTCAAGAAACTAATACCTTGTCTTATTCTCGGTATAGAATGAGAAGAAAAAGGAATAATTCATGGGTATCGTCTGCTTTATTCATTTCACTTCTTTGAAAAGGGAAACATTTGCTGGTAAATGTGTATTTTGCTGAAACATGAAACTATCTTTCAGACGATATGTAAAACAATTTGCGGAATAAATAGAATTATTATACAGTGTTGAATACTATACATATATCAGCTCTTTTTAAGGAAATTCTTTCTTAAAATTCCTTAACTTGTCTGTCTAAAAATGCTTTTCTTATCGTGAAATGAAGTGAGCTTTTTTAAAGCATGGTAAGCCACATTAATTTCTATATGCATATAAATATTGCTTGATTTTTTAAAATTTCATTTAATGCAGTACTGTTGACAAATTGAAATCTTCTAATTTCACAAAAACGTTAAGCAATTAGAAATCTAAATCGTCTGCTTTATTTATTTCACTTCTTTATAAAACGAAACATTTCCACTTAAATACGTTTTTTGCTGAAGCGTGAAACTATCAGTCAAACGATATGTAAAACAATTTGTGGAATAAATAGAATAAATACTAGATATTAGACTTTTTTTTTTTTAACGAATCCAGGTATTGTTTGATTTTCTTATATTTCATTTAACATAGTTCTACTGACATGCTGAAACCTTCCAATTTCGCACAAATATTAAGTAATTAAAAATCTAAAATCGATGATATTTCCTTTCCATACTATTTTATCACCACAGAACTTTTTTGCCAGATCTACGTTCAATTCATTTCAAAAAACAAATACCTTGTATTACTATTTTCGGCATAGAAAGAGTAAAAATAATCCACGAGTATTGCTTGCTTTAGTACATTAGGCTGATTTGTTCATTTCACTAATTTGAAAAGGGAATCGTTTTCTGGTAAATATGCCTTTTCTAAAACAGTAAACTGTCAGTCAGGCGAATTGTAAGATAATGTGGGTAACAAATAAAATTATTATGCAATGTTTAAGTACATTAAGATTTTTGTACTTTTTGAAGAAATTATTTCTAAGAACTCCCATTTTCTTAAAAAAATCTTTTCTATTAAGAGAACGTGAAACAAATTTTTATAGTTGGTAAGTTACATTAATTTTAATAATAAATGCTTATATAATAAATGCAACTGCCGTCATTTTTAATTAACCGTTACAAAATTCATTGTTCNTTTCTAAAAAAATCTTTTCCATTAAGAGAACGTGAAACAAATTTTTATAGTTGGTAAGTTACATTAATTTTAATAATAAATGCTTATATAATAAATGCAACTGCCGTCATTCCTAAATTCATTGTTCAAAATACTTTTCGACATAAAAATTTAGCATTATAATAACTTTTTATTGCATTGTATGATATCAGATTATTTTCAATAAGTTTATAGGGAAAGTTATCGCTATAATGCGATTCGGACATCACAGTTCCATGTTCAAAAAAAAATTAAAATTATTTCATAGAAACAAGTTTAAAATACTCGCTTAGTAAAAAGCAGAGAACTTGTCGGAGTTCCAACGATGCAGTTATAATGGTTCAATGAGCTAACTTTATATATCCTAATTAATTTGCGAAGACGATATTTTAAGTTACGAAATAAGGCACAAAAACGTATTTTCTAAGAATAAACATGTTTTTTTCTTTTCGACGGATTTTGATTTTTAATCTTTAAAGTATGCGTGACCGTAAACAGAAAATTGAAATACTATATTTTAATCAGAAGAGCGGTGAAAAGTTTGGCGCTATTAATTGAATATAAATTTAATTCCAGGTTTCTGAAAATCATAACTTGTTAAAAAGAAAGTCGTAGCTCTAGGAACTCTTCCAAGGAACCCTAGGGCTCTTGCGAAACACCACTTAGGATACTCTGCACTATGCATCGAAAACCACCAGTAACGAAAAGGTTGGATTTTTCGCTACAAATAAGAATGTTGGCGGACGGGCAGATTAACTCAAAGAAACTCTGAAAGAACTACTCTCAGCAATAATTTCCAAAAATAGATTTGTTTTTGTTTTTAAGAAGTTTATGTTATCAGTGTGAAAAATCTCTCTTCAGGCGCTTGCAAACTTAAGTGGCCGAATGCCAAAACAGCGGTTGGGTAATTAGAATTATTGGGGTTGTGTAACAAGACAAGCAAAAACGATTACAACTTAGTACCTCTATCTTAGCTTCATTATGTCAATGCAACACTGTTAAATACCTTAGTAAGATAATTAATATACTGTCATAATGCAAGTTACCAGACGCGCATCGTAGAATATTTATAAATCTGAACAGATAATCGCGCATTTAATTTTATGGCGTATGTCAAAAACAAAGTTGGATAACTTGCAGATTTCAGAATAAAAATTTCTGTTATACAAACATAGTTGAGGCTAAATGAAGATAACTAGAGCCAAAATGATAAGCTTAGATGGATTGGCAGTAATAATACAATAGTAATTACCATTGGGACGTTTTTACAGTTTTGAGCCAATAGACCAGGGTCCAATGGTTTAAAACCGTGGTTTTAAATAAAATAGATATTTCTATAATGAATTTACAACAAAGGGCACATCAAAAACAGTGGAAATACACAAAATGTTCCGTAATCACTCCGGGTCTTAGTATGTATTTTTAGAATCCTTGTCAAAAATAAAGTAAAAAAGTGTATGTAAGTTGCCGAAATTTTTGACCACTTTCCTGCCTAAGTTATTGAGACTATATTTTTTTATACTCTCTGTCTCCGTTCCTCTAATCAAACAGGCCCTGATGTTTTGAAGTCAAGTTTCCTCACAACTGTTAGCGGTTTTTTTTCCCTTCTTTTTTTTTAAAGTTACTTGAATGCTTTATCTCCTGCTTACTAAAGAGAAATTGAATTAAAAAACAATTTTGAACAATGTTAAAATATGATATTTATATAAATGACAAAGTATTTCATTTCAATAATTCGCATTTAAAAAATTGTTCGCTCATGTTAGATTAAAATTCACTTTACATTGTATTGTAACAACAATTATTCGTAATTAATAAAAATGCAATTTTAAACTATTATATCAAACTGAATTTGAAACTGCACATATAAAAAATATTCAGTTTATTATGAAACTTGAACATATTGACTTAATACAAAGAAACGAATGCGAAATAATTTTACTCATGAATGGGACTTCTATCATTATGGCAGTTCGAATAGGATATGCTTTATATCTCTAAGGTTTTATAGTTTAAAAAATTCAATATAATAAAAACTTATATCTGGCAAAACGTTCTCTCTTTCTCTTCTTTTTTTTTTTCTTTGTTGCTTTCAACTTCAACTCAAGCACGAGTGAATAAAATAAACATATCACGATACAAATCAAGATCATTTTTAAAGCAAAAATATAAATTAAAAAAAAATTCATGAAAAAAGCATTGAAAGTTGTAAATACTATACACAGTTATAACTTGCAAACACGATTCACCAAAAGAACTCGCCTTTTCAGCACATCCACATATTGCAACTCAGTAGCTGTACTGTTCTAAGCTAAAAAACGCATGGTATTCTTTACAAGTTTATTGCATTTTTTCTAATATTTGATCTTGCCTAATAGGGGTGTAAGAATTTCAAACCAGACGTAGTTCCACTCCTAAAGCCACATATTTGTTTTTTATTTTGAATATGGCACTTTCAGTCTATTCTTTTTTATCGAAATGTAAAACGTTATATTTAAAAACGTTATATATAATAAGAGTTCGTGCAGATGTTGTGACAAGCTTTTAAGATAGTTAAGACACACCACTGCATAGAAAATCATGACCGGAAACGTCATCGTACGCTGCTAGTGGCGCTTCTCTATTATGAACTTTTCAGAAGCGAACGAAGAAACAGTTCATAATAGGAAAGCGCACCCAGCGGAGTATGACGACATTTCCGGGCAAGGGTTCCTGTACAATTTTAATCCTAATGATGTTCTCTAACTCCCCTGAGAGTTAGTCGCAACATTTGTGCACTCCTATGTTGTATATAACGTTTTTAAACTTGTGCATTTTTACAAAAATTAAACTAAAATTGTCATTTAAAAAGAAAAACAATCTTGGGAGAAGCCCATTGCAAATTTGAAATAAATCAACGTTACGAAAGTATCAATGATCTGTTCAAAAAATCTGATGCAACAAAATATATATATATATATATGTTCCTTAGTGTGACTATCGAATGTTAAAGTTTTTTATTCCATGGCACTTCCAGTATGTTTTTTCTATAATATTTGGAAATTTCGCGATTATAAATGTTATAGTTTTTACGCAGCTAAACAAAATGTAACATCAAGTTGAACATTGTAACAGAATGCTGTTGAATGTAGCAGAAGTTGACGTCACTTACGATATTTTTTTGTTCTATAGATTTAACAATTTATGTAATAAGTTAAAATACTAATTGTATATACTTTTAATATTAATTGCGTATTATTTTTGTATCATTTTTAGTAAAAATCTTAAAAATATATATTTTAAGGGCGGTAATTACGAAACATTCTGCACAATGAGAATCCTGTAGATCAGTTTTAAAATGCATTTCTGTTTATTCATTGATATATTTTCTTCACAAAACAACCCCATGGTTGAATTATTTATTTTAGAAATGAAAGTAGATGGCAGTAACACTGCAATAAATAAATTTTGAAAATATTTTCTTTTCTTTTTTGATCGCAGTCTTCTTCGAAAAGAATTGGGACAAGCTGTGCCAACTGTTACACTACAACGACCACACTATGGAGAAGAAACCACCATGGTGAGCCCGTCTGCAATGCCTGCGGACTATACTTTAAGCTGCATAATGTGAGCTTATTTCATTTTATTGATGATCAAATTTGCATTGTTTTTATGCCTTTTTTTTATATGATTGCTCATACGAGGGTCACTTTGAAATTTTTGAGATACACCTAGGTTTTTAATGTTTTTCTTACGACATTTTAGGAGTAGTTTCCTCCAGCATTAATACACTTTTGTAGACTAATTTTCCAAAGATTAAATACCTAAAACCATTCATTTCATGGAATCGATATAAAAAAATGCATTTAAAGCCACATCAATCTCCTCTTAGCAAATATATTTTATTTTGCAATTTTATATTTTATTTTATAACCGTCGTTGAACAGCCGACCCAATTTTTAGGTTTACGACTACTAATATTCAAATACGTAGCCTTGTAATTTTGAACCCAATCCAGAAGACAAGGGAACTCCTGGATCAAGTATTGGGAGAAATTTGCCTTCGTGGAGGACTTTTTGATGCAACTAACCCGCATTTGCGTTACAAGGAGAGGAAGACCGCGTTAACCTCCCACGACTAGCCCGACGGCAAATGGACTCTAACCCATGATCCGTCTACCACTGAGGATATTTCACATCAGCCGGTGCGAGCCGGGTGCGGAATTCGTATCTACTAGCCATCGCTGTGTTTCGAACCAGGGTTACCTTCTTGGTAGGCGAGAGCTCTATCATCCAAGCCACCACGGCTAAAATGTAAAAGAACAAAACAAAAAAAAAACGGTAATTGCAATAAAAGAAATGTTATGAACTAAAAAGAAATGATAATGATGCATATATTCGTATCGGGAACCATAAAAAGATACCCATATTATTATTAGCACCAATGATGCTAAATTAATTTTGGTAATAAATACTGCCGTTATTATAGTAAATGATGCTGCAATTAATAGGTACCAAATATATACTACTGCAAGCACTGTGGTAATAGGCTTTTTACTGTGAACTGAAAAGAATAAGTACTGGAGAAAAATACTTGACTGTTAAAAATTTTTGACTATCATGAGCTGACTTCAAGCAACAGCATTCTGCCAAATGACTTTGATTTCAATTTATTTTGATGGATGAACTTCTAAAAAAGTGTTTTGTTCAATCTAATCACGTAAAGCCACAGAGAAAGACAGTAAATAAAAAAAGGAACTATTTTAGCTTTCTTATTTTTGCTGATATATATCTTTCAGTTTTGTGCACAATTTCAGTGTTCATAGCTGTGGAATCAGTAGTTGAAATGCTTGAAAATCTGACTCGAGACTTTCCAGAAAGCTCGCTCGTCTCCAATTTTTACTCAGATTAATATCCCCCTTTACTCCGAATTTCAGGAAGATTTAATTGTTACAATGTCCCCTTCATAGTATAACTTTAATAGTACTTCAATTTAACTGATAATTTAATTTCTATTCTAATACCAAAAAAACTATCTTTAGTCATCTACTCTACAGGTTCTACAAACAACAGAATATATATTTAACCGTTTTTTCTCTAGTTGCATACAATACAAATACACCTGACCTTAAATCGAGATTTCACTATCAGCATCAAATTTACGAAGATAAAAAGACACTGAGAAAAAAAAAATACTTTGAAAATTTTTCTAAAACAGCAAATTTTCCTTTTACAGGTATTTAATATGAAAAAATATTCTGTTATTAGAAACTATCCACAGCATAAACGCCACATTCATAAATTTGTTTTCAAAAATTCCACATTCATTTTTAAAATTATCTCAAGATATATCTTCAAAGTTGTAGAAAATTGAGAAATTATCCTCTACATTTAAACATCAATCGTATTAATCATATATTTGTCACTTAAATTGTTATGTTGAAAACCATTTTTAAATAATTGAAAATATACCTGAAATTTGAATAATAATGTATGTAGGAAGTATCCATAGAACAACGTTTGAATAAAAAAATGCCGACACACGATTTTTTGTTGTTGCAATAGTGTGAATATGAATCTCAAAGTGATATTTCTAAATGCTGTGAATGCGAATCTCAATGGAAAATTTTTAAATTAGACGAATATGAATCCTGATGTGTAATTTAAAAGCATGTGAATGCAGATCGTGAAGAATAATTTTAAATCGTGTGATAGTAAATCGCGTTTGTACAAGTAGGAAAAAGCGTATAAAGCTAATCTATTTCGCAGAAATTTGAAAAAGTGGAACTTCCTTTGAAAAAGTGGAATTTTTGTTTTTATTAAATTGAAATAAAAAGCGAAATTCCATTAAAAATCAATATCTTATTTTAACTATTAACTTAAGTTTTCCTTTATATTGTGTATAATTGCTTCACAATAAAGCCTTTGGATGAATAGTAAATTTATTAAGTTTGTATTATTTCAGATGAAACGCCCCGCTGCAATGAAAAAAGATGGCATACAAACCAGAAACCGCAAGATATCCTCCAGATGCCGAAAGAAAAAACTCTATCAAGCTTTGGATCACACTAGCAGACCAGTTTGCAATCGGGATTACATTAACTACAATAGTTTTTCTCAATGTAATCGTGCCCCAACATACATAGAACAGGACAATTTGACAGGAAATAACTTATTTTCAAGTGACTGTATGACTGCTTCAGCCACTGCAAACCTGAATAATATGAACAATGTTCAACATTCTGGATATGTACTTCATTCCTATCCACAGGCAATGATTGGTGCAATTTAACTTGTTTCAAAAATTTTTCTAATGAACTATCTCAGTGCCTTATACATACTAAAAGTCCTAAATTAGACTAACAGTTTTAAAAACTCTATGAAAAAATAAAGGGTTAAAAAAATTATTACAATAATTCATGTGACAGAGTATAGATGTTCCCTTCCAAAGTTCTTGGTTTTAGTTCAAAGTTTTTTTGGTAGATGGCATTGCAGACCGTAAAAGTATGAATTAAAGAAAAATAATTAAAAATCACATCACAACATAATATTGCTATTAATAATACATATTGAAAACATTGCAATGTGATTTTTATTCCTTAATAGATTTCGAAAAAATTTGATGCTAATTTCAAATTTTTTTTCTCTTCTTTACGGGTTTAACATATGTAGCGCCATCTGTCAAAAACAATTTGCACTAAATTAGAAACTCTTGGAAAAAAATATTAAGTCCTGTCATATAAATTTGTTGCTGTCCTGTCACATAATTAAAGTTTTAAAAAACTATCAGTTTAATTTAGGATGCCATATAGATTTAAAGGACTATTTGTAAGAAATTCCATTTCAGAGAACTGTAAAATCTAGTCCACACCCTTGCATGCCATTTTTTGCTGATTAAGAGAAAAAAAGATTTCATTGAAAAGCTGTGCGAAAATGGTGACACATAGAGAAAAAAAATTTCAATATTGTGCTTCATCACATTATTTCTCCTGAAATAAATGTTGAATGTCAACACAAAAATTTGGAACTTGTACCTGTTATACAATAAACTTTTCATTTCATTTCAAGATAACTGTGTGAAATCAATAAATCAATTACAGAATCTTAGAACTTTCAGGGAACCTCAGAGGACTTTTTATAAAATAATAAAGTTAAATTAATGATAAATATAATTGCTTGTCTATGGGGAATTCATTAGAAGGAATAAGAAAGAAATAGTCAGTAAGAACAGAATAAGAATGGAATAGTCAATCAAAACAGAAGAAGTAAGAACAGATATAGAATTAGAATTCTTAGTACACCCCTGAAATGTTTTTTAAAACAGTTTCCACTCTCTTTTAAAATTACAATTGCCAATAATTCTTGAGTTATTTTTTTTACAGTAGGAATTTTAGTTAAAAAATTAAAAATGAATTAACAAACAAAAAAGAAAATTTATTCTTACAAATTGAAAGTTTTCTGCAAATTCCAGGGACAGAAAAGATTTTTTTTCTTCTTTTTTGTGAGTTTCTAAGAAAATACATTCTCAGTACAATTGCTCAAAATATTGATTTAAGCATAGGTTAGTATTGTAGTCTAAGTGAAAAGTTATAACTATAATGAAAAGTCTGAATATAACATTCATATTTTTAATAAATTTATTATTTCAAAATTAGGTTACATGAATTTTATTAGAAAAAAAAATCAAACTTTAAAAAAAAATCATTAAGTTTTAAAATATATTACACAAATTAACAATAACAGATGACATGAAATTTCACATTAGTTATTACATTATCTATAACAAAATTAAAATTTCACACTAAAAGTTTCATTATTTAATAAGGAAAATTAATAAAGCCTTAAGAGCATATCTTCAAGAAAGTAAATAAAACTTGAAATCGAAAAATCTAGGAAGAATATTTTTCCAACCAAAGAGCAGTTTGCATGAATACATCAGCATCATGTGGAGTTTTCTTAAGTGAATGGCAGTCTTCATACACATAAATCCTAAAATAATAAAAGTAACTCTAAATTCAAAAGAAAAATATTTCATGCTAAAAAATTCAAAAATAAAATTAATTAAGTGGTAAGCAGAAACTGATTGTGGTAGCAATATAGTGGATGATTAAAGTAAGAAAAGTACACACACTAACGGCTGCAAATTAATATCTAAGCAAGATGAAAGCAAAAAACACAGTAAAAGTTTGTCAAATCATTAGCGAGGATGGTGGTATAAAAAAAGATGATATAAAAGATGATCTTCATAACCTGATGATGCTTGGTTGATGGGTAATACACCCATCAACTAAGAAGAACCACCCTTTATGTTATGTTTTTTTCAGCAACCAAGAAAGTATTGATTGATGTTTTTCCTCTTTGCTGATTTGTTAGATTTTGATAGCGTTTTTTCTTTACCAAAATATTAATTAGCAATCTTTAATGTGTATATTTTTTGGATTTCATTTTTGTCAAAGATTTTAAAAAAAAGAACGGTCTTTACATAACATCCTGCATCTGTATCACAAAACAAGCACAATATGTTCAACCTAACTTTCAAACTTTTTAGCTGTCAATGCACTTCGATAAAGTTTTTAAAAAAATATAAAAATAATTTTTTATTAAGTCATATAATAATATTAGGGCAGTAAAAGTAGCTAAATAATCAGCAAAACCAAGACATTAAAACAAAGCTTTAATTAGCTGTAAACTTTTGACTAACATAATAAGTGGTAAAAAATAAGTGGTGGTCTCATAATAAGTGGTAAAAAATCACATAACTTTAGGATGGGGTAAAAAGGAAGAAACTTACATACTGCTATTTAAATATATGAGGTATTGATATTACTGTAGTATACTGTATGCTGAACCGATTATTCAAAAACTGTAACAACAGGGTTCAAAGTTCAGAAGTTATAAGGATTTCATGTACAAGAAATACAATATTGTACTTTTACCTACTTACACAACTAACATTGCTATTTAGACAAGCAAGGTATTGATTTTTGTGTATTTTTTATGCAGAATCGAATAAGACCAAATACGAATTGTTAAGACTAATAGTTCAAAAGTGGCAAGGATTTGTATGTATAAATAGTATACTCTTGTAGCTATTTACAATTGGCATTGTTTTTTATAAATCTTTGGACAAGTGAGATATTGTTTTTATGTGTGTTTTGTTAAGCTGAATTGCAAAAGAATGTGCTTATGTATGTGTCAAAAGGACTAATAGTTTAAAAGTTATAAGGGTTTTGGGCATAAAAAGTACACATTTGTTCTTGCATCCATTTGCAAATTTGATATAATTATCCAAATAAGGAGTATTCTTTTAAATGTAATTTTTTTTCTTGACTATTCAAATAAAATTTTTAATTTAGAAGTTATCAAGATTTTATTTTGCATAAAAAGTAGTATTATTGAAATGTACTTTGTATGAATCAAACCTTTATGACTTCTTAACTATTTATACTCTATTGGCTTGAGTTTGTCTCTTTCAATTTAGCCACCCTCCCAAATAAAAACACTAAAAGAAATTGCTTGTGTTACCTGCATAGTAAGTACAAGTCAAATATATTAATTTTTAAAGGTAAAACTTTTATAACTTTCGAACTGTGAGTCCCATCGTTTCAAGACTGGCCTTTTTAAAATTTAGCATAAAATTATACACCACAAACAATGCTTCACATACCTAAATAGCAGTAAACTTTTCCCCCCGCAGAGGCCAGATATGAGAGGTTTGCTACTTATTTTTATGACAGTTTGCTCCAGGTTAGACTTTTTTTGAACCAATTTAAATTCGACTTTATTTTGTAATTTATGAACAAATACTGGTTTGTTGAGCAAGACTACTACCAACTTCTCCTCTGAACTAAGCACGTTAACAGTTAAAAATAATTAGAAATCAGTTTTAATTTGACTATTATACAGAAATGCACTCACTCAACAGGAACTTTTCTTGCTTTAAGTATTTTATAATACTTGAGACCTTGGGCATATGGGACGCGTAGGTCTTTACTTCCAAGCAGAAGTAAAACAGGTGTACAAACCTATAGGGCAGAGAAATGAGATTTAATAATATACAGTTGATTGAAATTTCATTAAAAACATACAAATGAATAAAAAAACTTTTTTTTATATTCATAAATTAGTAACATTTATTAAATTCATGAAGAGAGAGATAAAATAAAAATAGCTCTTTGACTAAAAAAAATCACAAATATGACAAATATTTTAGTTAGTTCCAGGGCCCGCACTAAGGATTTCAAATTATTAGCCAGTAAAATAGCCAAATATCACAAGTATCCACCAAATGCAAATCCTAACTATTTTTTAATGATTAATTTGTTTTCTCATACAAAACTATTTTATGGTAGTTTGTTTCTGGCTTATATTATTTGGACCCAATATATTTTTATTGGTATATTATTTTGCCCCAATTATATTTATGCAATGTATCTACCAAAAATGACAGTAATCGAATAAAAAGTACAGATTTGTTTAGAAAAATTCATTTTGACGTAATTTGGTGGATCGCTAATTTTTTTACCAAACCAGAAATTTTAAAATAAGCTAATGAGTATAAATAATTTTTAGATCATATATTTACATTTTCCACATATCTTATAGGTGATTTTTCCCACATTGATTTTAACTGGTCAGGATTAATTGCAGTTGATGGATCATACATATCTCCACAGCCTCCTTCCACCCAGTTCCTTCAGTAAAAAAAAAATATTTTTATTGAAATTATAACATTGCAAGAGATATAATTACAACTTCATATTTCGTATAAAATAATAGTTTAACATTAAATACAGTTAATTCAAAATTAATACTCACTTTCAATTTTTAAACCTCTAATCAATTACAAAGATCAATGCTAAGGTAATAGAACTAATTGGCTCAACCAGATAGGAATATGGTACATCAAACTTAATATCAGTAGTGTACTTTAAGGTTAGGCATTTCAGTTTATTTTACTTGATACAGATAGAATCAGAATTTATCTTAAGACAGGGGTCCTCAAACTTTGGTTCAGAATTATCAATAATATGGTCGGAAATTGTGGACTTGATAGGCAGGGTTAGCATGATTTAAATCACTTGATTTAAGCCAGGATTAAATTCTTATTTAAATCACCTGTAATTTTTGAAAAGTCATTAATTTAAAAAAGTGGATTTTTTTTTCTTCTTTAATTAACATATGAAGTGCTTTTTTTTCGTACAATATAGTTATTACATTCTTTCGAGTGCGTTTTTTTAAAAAGTCTGATTTCAGTGATATTGGAGGTTTTTTACTAAAAATAAGAGATATACACATAAATTATGATATACCTATGCCTATCTTTTATGGGAAAAAAATCATTGATTTTAATAAATAATTTCTTAAAATAGAATTTTTAAAAATATTAACCCTCTGACTGCTCATCCTGCGATTTCCACGGGCAACTCAATTGTAGCAAAATCTGGTCATCCCGCGATTTCCGCGGGCATGTGTTTTTCTTCCTTCATTGATGAGCGCATCCTGTTTATTCCCCGTTTAGCAGTATTAGACGTTTAATTTACGTTTTGACCAACAGATGTCGTTAGTTGTCTACTAAATTGCCGCATTTGAAGGCGCATAGTGCAAAGCGATTTTGAAAGCAATTTCGGTCCACAAATTGAGCAGTCAGAGGGTTAATTTGAGAATAAATGCTTTTTAACAATATAATTAAAAATAAATTATTTAGGGGGTGATTTTTAAGTGATATTTCATGATGGAGATTTCTTACTAAGAAATAATAAAAAGAGTTATGCATGTAAATTATTATATTTCAAAATAGACCAAAAATTGAGCAGTCAGAGGGTTAATTTGAGAATAAATGCTTTTTAACAATATAATTAAAAATAAATTATTTAGGGGGTGATTTT